CCTGCCTGTCTCTCTTTGCCCAGCCTCCCCATGAGACCACAGCAGCCTCAGGTTTCTGGTGGGCTCTTTGCACACCGTGCCATTGCCCATCTCCAGGCCTCTGTCCAAATGTCTGCTCTGTCTGAAACCACCCTCCTGCGTCTTGGCCTGGCCAATCCCATGCTGGCAGCATCTCTGGAAACTTTCCCCTTGGGTTTCTTGGCCTCGGCACTATTGACATTTTGGTCCAGGCCATTCTCTGTGGTGGGGGCATCCTGTGCATTGTAGGATGCTGAGCGGCACCTCTCTGGCCTTGACTCCCTGGACGCCAGCAGCACCTCCCTCTCCAGACACTGCCCAAAGCCCCCTGCCATGTTTGCCCTACCCCATGCCTTCACAGCACTTTGAACAACCTGGTTACACCCTGTCTGCCCTGGTCCCAGACTGCCTGGGTTTGAACCCCAGCTGCACATTTACCGGCCGCGTGGCCCTAGGCAAGTGACTTAACCTCCCAGATGATAAGTGTTTCCTCATCTATAAACTGGGGGTGATCACAGCACTGACCCCACAGGGAGGCGGTGGCTTTTAAATGAGATAAGGCATGTAAAGTACACAGTAGGTGCCCAATAAATGTTGGCAGTATAATTAGGACTCTGTGAAAAGTATTTGGATGTCATTTGTGTGTGTGTGTTTTCCCACTTGACTCTGTGCCCTTGGGCAACTGGAACCCGAGAGTCACTACTTTGGCCCCAGCACCTGGCCGAGGGTTTGGCGTGCACCAGACGCTCAGTACCGTTGAGGGCTCTGTCCAGGACTCAGGAGCAGGTCTGAGCTGTGGACATCATTCACCCACTTGGGACCCCCGTTATCTTGCCCCTCAAAGCCCCTTGTCCACCCAGGCCTTCCTGCATGTCTCCTCTCCCCATGGGGCCTCACACTGCCCCGCTCACAGCGACCCTGATCCTCAGGCCCCAATCAAGCCCCTCCCTCAAAGCTACACCTGTCAGACTCAGTCAGAGCTGCCACCCACAGACTCTGAGGGGCGGTCTGCAAGCCCATCAGGGTCTCCTCCACCAGGAGCCAGGCCACGGGAGTGAGAATTGCATGAGACCCCTTCTGGAGTCCTCAGGCTGATCCTCGTGGGAGTCACACCAGAGTTAGGGGCGGGGGTTTCTTAAAGAACAGTTTGCCCATCTACATATGTGATGAAAGGGGACCGAACGATACACACATGCTGTACCTATGCTGGTTTCCTGGCTGTGACCTTGCGCTAAACAATAAACATTGCAGGGAACTGGGTGAAGGGTATTCAGGACTTCTCAGTACTATGTTTACAATGTCTTGTAATTATTTCAAATATCAAAAGCTTCTTTAAAAATATACTTGTGCTGCAAATCCGAGTTTGCTTTCTCAATAAATTTTAAACTTAAAAAATAAAGACCCTGACCTCATTCAGACCAAGAACCTGCCGGGTTTGGGTGGGGACAAGCAGAGAGGAGGAGAGAGATGGCTTCGGGGCTTATGGCCGGACTGACCCCATCTGGCAGGAGAACGGTAGAGGATCCTGTTCCCACCTCCATATGGGGCCCGCATGAAGGTGACATGTTCCCTTGTGCGACACCCACTCCCCAGGGCAGAGCAGGTGGGTGGCGTCTCTAGGAGGACCAGCTGTGGTTCCGCCCTCTCAGCACAGAGCAGACTCTAGCAGAAAGGTCTGAGCTGTGACAACACAGAGCTGAGTGACTGGCCTCATGTTCCCTCCCACCATGGCTGAGAAGGACAGGCAGCTGCTGGTGGTGGTGTCAGGTGCCGCTGAGCAGACTCTGACTCATAGTGACCCTACATACAGCAGGATGAAACACTGCCCAGTCCTGCACAACCTTCGCAATCCCTGCCACGCGGGAGCCCACCACTGCAGCCACTGTGTCAATCCATCTCATTAAGGGTCTTTTTTTCACTGAGCCTCTGCATTTCAGTAACGTATCAGACAGAGTTTCACTGCTTCATAAGGTTCACTTCATAAGTTTCACTGTTTCATAAGGTTTTCAGTGGTTAATTTTTTCAGAAGTGGATGCCCTGTCTTCTTCCCAGATTATCTTAGTCTGGAATCTCCACTGAAACCTGTCCACCATGGGTGACCCTACTGGTATTTGAAATAGCCTTAGCATAACTTCCACCTCAAAGCAACACGCAAGCCACCACAGTATGACAAACTGACAGACAAGTAGTGGATGGCAGGCAGGGACAGCCCCAGATACCCTCTGTTCTCGGGATTAAATTCTTCCCAAGTTCCATTCTTAAGCCATGGTGGCCCTGCCCACCCCACCCTGACCCTTACCCTCGGCTTACAGGGTGGCCCTCTAAGTGTGGGGCCACCATAACCCGGGACTGGGGTGTGTGGGGGGGTGTGTGTGTGTGGAGGGGACAGGTGCACTTGAAGCAGCAGCCAGGCTGATTAGTGGGCTAGAGAAGGGTCATCAGAGTTAAGCTACTGGGAAGAAGGGGACTTCCCCCCCTGTAGATCAGAAATGGGTCTTTGCAGACTGACAACAGCAACTCGAAAGGTTAGACAGGGCCTCAGGGGCAGCGAGTTTGTGTTCACAGCAGAGGAATAATTCGGAAGAGAAGGATGAAAATGGTTGCATAACTTGAGCAATGTCGTCACCGTCATGAATTGTATAAGGAGAAATAATTGAATTGCTGTATGTTTTGCTGCGTATGTTTTCAACAACACCACCAAAATAAAATAAGTTATTTTTTTAAAAAAAGAAATGGGTCTTCAGGGGGACGTTAATCCCCAGATGGGAGGCGTGTATGATTTTGGATAGTTTAGGAGAGAAACAAGAGATGCCTGGAGTGGAAGCTTTCCATTCCATCTCTCCCCAGATCCAACGGGTCAGAGGGCTGAGGTCCCCTCCCTCCGGCTGGTCGACCTGGAGACAAACGTAGCAAAAGCTAGGTGCCCAGGAAAGCCCCCGGTGCTTAGCTGAAGCTTGAGCCTGCAGAACTTGCCAAACCCCCAAAGGAACGTGGGGCTTCAGACTATTCTGTAGGCAGGGTGGTGTCTCCTGAGGCTCCAGGAAGAGCAAAGCAGGGACACCCAACAAGGGAAGGGTTAAAGGGACTTGAGATGTGGTAACTTGAGGGTCCAGGAAGGGACCCAGGGCACCCTCTGAGGTCCCAGGCAGCTAACTCAACCTTTGTGCCTTGAAGAGAACAAGGTGGGTGGGCCAGGGCCACAGCACACCCCGCCCAACACACACACACCCCCAATTCAGGAAACTTTGCAAAACTATGCCAACCTCTCTGCTAACAAAAACAATAACAAACCAGCAACAACAACAAAAACCCACACCTGCTAACCATTCTTGGAGCCTACACAAATTCCATCAGAGAAAACACGTGTGAAGTGCGGCAGTCAGGGCCAGGTGGTCAGTTAAGGGCGTGTTGTCTCAAAGGGCACAGCTTTGAAAGACCAATGGGGCAGTTCTACTGTGACTGTGCACATGTGGGCTCACCATGAGTGAAACTGACTCCCCGGCAACTCACAATAACAGCGATGGCTTCCTGAGGGAGCTTGTACTAGGACTCCCATTTCTTAGATGTTAAGTCCTTGCCCAGGGTCAGGCAGCCAAGACGTTGGGCTTCTTTTCACCACGCCCCACCCTGCCTGCAGACAAGGCTGTCACACCAGTCCTCCATTCGCCCCACCAATCCCAGCCAGGCAGGAGAGACAATCCGTGCCCTCCCCCACACTGGGACCAGGGCCCTCCCCAGAGGGTAGCCAGAGCCACACCTCATGGGACAGAAGGAAGGCCTCCCACACAGGTTACATGAGCATGTCACTGACAAAGCTCCTGTGACCGGTCTCATAGCCAATTGCAATACACCAGCTGGGTGTCACAACATGGAGGCTGAGAACCAGACCCGCCCTTCCCAGGCCATGCACCCCCATTCCAGGCACACGGGGGTTCATAGTCCTCTAGGACGTGACCCTCTAGCAGCCAGCTTTTCCCTGTCCTTTGCCCCCAGTACATCTGCAGGATCATCATCAACAAATATTGACAGAAGGCTGACCAAGCGCTCAGCCCTGCGCCAGGAATGGAGGAGACAAGAGGCCAGGTTGAGGGTCGAGCCTTGACGCTACGCAGCGGGATGCCACAGGCAGGCTCCATCCATGAGGATGCCGGGGAATCACAGGGCTCAGGTGCTATGGTTCTGGCAGAGCCTTCCCGCTGGGGAGCCTGGGAGGGCTTCTCAGAGGAGGTGGCCTTGGCTCCCTGCCTTTGCCCAGCACAAATGACTCCTGGGGCAATCTAGGCCAGGGGTTCACAAGCTGGTGGTGTCAGGTTCACCTGGGGAGCTTGGTAAAAAGACAACAGCCCAGGCCCTCTCCTACTTTCACAAGCCTGGGCCTCCAGGTCAAACACACCAAGCAACTTTACGAAGCACAGCAAGTAATTGCATCTATTAGTCCAAATGGCTGAAAAGCCCGAACACCTGCTCATCCTCAGCTCCCTGCAAGCTGCTGGCTCTCACTGCAGCACCACCCATGCGGACAGCGTAGCCCAGTTTCTCCCCGGCCTCGCTCTAGGGAAGGAGGTTCTGGTGGTGTAGTGGTTAAGGCATTTGGCTTCTAACCAGAAAGTCAGTGGTTCAAACGCCCCAGCTGCTCCAAGGGTGAAAGAGGAGGCAGTCTGCTTCTGTAAAGATGTACAGCCTTGGGAACCATATGGCTGTCACTATGAGTAGGAACTGACTTAATGGCAGGGGCTGGGGAGGAGTCAGAATCCACTCGATGCCAGTGAGTTTGGTTTGGTTTTCTCTCTTGGGATCACAAACCCGGTGGGTATCTGACCCCGACTCCAGAGGGTCTGGAGTCTGACTGGGACTAACACCCATGGATCCCTGGGAAGGGAAGTGTTTTAGAAACTGACCCCGCCCTGTGGATCAGTCACCCCTCGGTTCCTCTTGCCTTTAGCATTTTAAGAAATGTGAGCTGGTGGGCGGGGAGGAGAGAAAGAAGAGGGTGGAGAGTTGGCTGTGAGAAATACTTCTTCCCATCCAACTGATGCGGTTTAATCTGTCTAAAGAATGTTTTTAATTTTGGAAGAATCTTTTTAATCTTTCTCCTAGATTTCTGTTTTTTATCTTCTGCTATAGGAGGAATACAATCTCTGGGTAGCACGAATGGTTAATGTGCTCAGTGGCTGACTGAAAGGTTGCTGGTTCGAGTCCACCAGAGGCACGTCAGAGGAAAGGCCTGGAGATCTACTTCTGAGAAACCAGCCACTGAAAACCCCATGGAGCATGGTCTTGCCCAGGCACACACGGAGTCAGCACCAGCTGGAATGAACTTGACAGCAACTGGTTTCACACGGGAAATTCATTGAGCTCCCTGGCCACCAGTCCCTGCCAGAAAGAACTGTTTCTGGTATTGGCTTTCCTATTTGTTCAGAAGGAACCTAGGTGGTCAGGTGAGGGTCCACAGGTAAACAGGAGAGGAACACAGGAGGCTGGAGACCAGTCCAGAGAGAGGGACAGCACTCCTGGGCTTGCCTCAAAAGGCTGGGGCGGGAGAGGTGGAGGGGCAGAACTAGGGACAACTGAGTGGCCCGCTTAGGGAAGGAGGGGCCTTCCCGGAGCAGACCTGGGGACCAGGAGCCGCTCAGGGTAGCTCAGCCATCAATTGGTATCAGAGGAGCACAACTCGGACCTTGGACACAGTATCACTGGGTCCCTGCACCCCCACCCATTTGGTCTGAGTTTCACATTTTAAACACTGATCACAAAACCAAGAGGCCCCTGCAGTTGCAGTTGTGGGCCAGGACAGCTATAGGCCAGGGCCTGCCACCCATAGGTGTCCCAAGAGGAAAAGGCCTAGTTGTGACGTGGCCCAGTGCTGCAGGGAGGCAGGTGGGCATCCCCAGGACAGACAGGGGCACCCAGGCCCAGTCCCCTGCCCATCATGCAGTTTGGTATTCACAGGGTGCAACTACACTCTCCACGTGTGGGGAGTGCACACACTCGGAGGCACACACCTGGCAATGCTTACTGCACACATAGGTACACGTGCCGAGTGCTGCAGCTGCTGCCCTCTGGACACACATGTGGCTGAACACACCTGCATCCCTGCACGGCACCGTGGTGCACAGCACAGTGAGCTTGCCACACAACCCAGCAAATGTCCCACCCGCCCCCTGGCTCACCTCCACAAAGAAAAGTGCCCAGATCCTGCTCCAGTGCTTGGATTCGGTGAGCGCTCCGTGTGTGGCCAGGTGGCTGCCCTTGACAGTGAGTGTGTAGTGGCACACTCCCAGGATGGTGATGCCCAGGGCAAAGATCAGGGCATTCTCGGAGCGCAGGCACAGGAACCCTGTGTGGGAGAAGCAGGGGGCAGGCTCTTTCTCCGTCTTGAGGAGAGCCGAGTCCCAAGGCCTCAGCCCCTACCTCTGTGAGACCAAGTAGGGAGACTGGGGGAGTCCCACTCTGGCTTGAGGGGGATGGGCAGGCTCTCTCCACAGGATTTGGAACAGAACAGAGCCCATTGGTTCAGCAAGGAAACTGAGGAGTCTGGCCTCTGGTGGGGTTTCCGACTGGCACCCCAGCCCGCCCAAGGCTGGGGCAGGACATGGTGGTGTGCAGACCAGGAGAGGTCGCAGAAACCCGCCTTCCCTCCTCCTCCCTTGCCCCATTCCTGGTCTCCCCCAGGCCACCTCCTCAGCTCAGCCCTCCTGGCTCTTCTCAACTTTTCCTTCCACCGCCCTTCATCCACCAGCTTCTTCCTTCTCCAGTGCCGGCTTCTCCGGGAACACAGGGCAGGACACCCTGAATCTAGGCTTTCGGGTTTGAGGCATGAGCTTCTTCCCTCTGCTGCCCCCACCTACCCACTCCGGGCTCCACCGGCCTCTGCAGCAGAGCCAGCACTGGGAACGTCCCCGGCCCTCGCCCCCAGCCTCAGCCCGACCCCTCGTCGCCCTGTCCGCGCGCCCTCACCGGCCGGCAAGGCGAGGAGGCTGAGCGCTAGGATGGCGCAGTCCACGCCGTGGCGCTCCCACCACGAGCTGGCCCTCACCACGGCCTGGACCAGCGCCTCCAGCTCGCCGTGCAGCCCCGCCGGCTCCATGGGTTCCGCCGAGGACGGCCGCGCCGTGGGTGTCTGCGGCGCAGCGCGCGGGGCTGGCGGCGAGCGCGGGCGGG